AATCACACTTTAACATGAGATTTGGAAGAGACACACACCCAAATCATATCAAAATGTATTAGTTAAGGTTCTATTGAAATAATTTAGGAGAAGAAAAGATGATACATATCAGGTAAATGAGCAAGGAGAGATCAGGTTATAAATCACTTTTGCATATATCATCTGTATTTATCTCTAAGAAACTTTGGAATTTTTAAACTTTGGAATTTTTTCTTCAGCTTGTATTTTAGCTTTAGAGGGTACATGTGTAAGTTTGTTACATAGATATATTGTGTGACACTGAGGTTTGGGGTATGAATCCCATCATCCAGGTGTTGAGCTTAGTACCCAAGCTTAGTACTCAGGAAATGCTCAAAACAGGAAGTTTTTCAATCCACACTTCTTTCCCTCCTTCCCCGCTCTAGTGGTCCCCAGTGTATATTGTTCCCATCTTTATGTCTGTGTGTACCCGGTGTTTAGCTCCCACTTATAAGTGAGAACATGTCATATTTTGTTTTCTGTTTCTGCATTAATTTGCTTAGAATAGTGGCCTCTAGCTGCATCTGTGTTGCTGCAAAGGACATGATTTTGTTTATTTCTATGGCTGTGTGGTATTCCATGGTGTATATGTACTACATTTTCTTTATCCAATCCACCGTTGATATGAATCTAGGTTGATTCCATGTCTTTGCTATTGTGAATAGTGCTGCAATAAACATATAAGTGCATGTGTCTTTTTGGTAGAAGAATTTATTTTCTTTTGGATATGTACCCAGTAATGGGATATAGCTCTGTTTTAAGTTCTTTGAGAAATCTTCAAACTGCTTGCCATGGTGGTTGAATTAATTTATATTCCAACAACAGTGTATAAGTATTCTCTTTACCCACAGCCTTGCCAGCATCAGTTATTTGTTGACTTTTTAATAACAGCCATTCTGACTGGTGTGAGATTGTATCTTGTTGTGGTTTTGATTTGCATTTCTCTGGTGATTAATGCTGATGAACATTTTTTCATGTTTGTTGGCTGGCTGCTTGTATGTCTTCTTTTGAAAAGTGTTTGCTCATGTTCTTTGCCAATTTTTAAATGTGGTTATTTGTTTTTCTCTAGTTGGTTTAAGTTCCTTACAGATATTGAATATTGGACCTTTGATGGATTAATAGTTTGAGAACATTTTCTCCCATTTTGTAGGTTTTCCATTTACTCTGTCCACAGCTTCTTTTGCTGTTCTGAAGAGCTCTTTAGTTTGATTGGGTTCCACTTGTTAATTTTTGATTTTTTAAACTGGATTTTAAAACCCCGTTTTACAGATGAGAAAACTGAGACTTAAAGAGATAAATTTTTAAGATCATAAAATTGGTAAGTGGTAAAACTAGGTCTTAAATGTAAGTCTTTTTAAAATTTTAAATCTCAACTTTATGTATATAATTGGTCAGTCACTGTGCTTGATGTGAAATATACGACTGTGAATAAGATGCAGTTTCTGTCTTCTGGGACCTTATTGCTTGATGGGAAACAGATGAGTTTAAAATTTGCTTCAACGCAATCTGATAAGCTCTATGCTGATGATAGGTGCAGAAGGTGACATCAGTCCCAAGAATGGGTAGGATTTTGGCAGGCAAAGATCAGGACAGCATCTAAGTGGAGAAATTGTATAAGCAATGACATGGAGGCTAGAAAGTTGTCCTGTTAAGTTGGAGTCTAGGGGCATTGTTGGAAACTGAGTTGGAAATGTACACTGAAGCCAGATCATGGAGGGCTTCTATGAACATTCAACCAACACTTATTTTTTGGATGTACATCATGACAAGCTATTGTCTGAAATGCAGAGATTACAGCAGCAAACAAGACAAACAAAATCCTTGTTCTTATGGGCCTTACATTCCAGTAGGGAGAAAAAGACAATAAATGAGTAACATAAAAACAAGGTATCAAATATGAAAAGTGTTAAGAACATTGGCAGCACAAATGAGGAATATGTGGTAGAGAGTGACTGGGGTGATACCATTTTAGAATAAATGCCAGAGGAAGCTTCTGTCACGAGGCAACTTTTTAACCAAGACCTGAATGAAATAAGGATTGAGCCACACCAAGATTGAGAAGAAGACTATTCTGATCAAAAGAAATAGCTGGTTCAAAGGTCTCCAGGTGGGGATCAGCTTGTCCTGCTAGAATCATGGAAAGAAGGCCAGAGTGATTAGAAAACAGTGATGCAGAGGAGAATGGTGAAAGATGAGGCTTTGTAGGGCCCCATCCTATAGGAAAGTCCTGAGAACAAAGTTGGATTTTATTCTCAATGTGGAGGGAAGCTACTGGGAATTTCAAGTAGGGAGTGGCACAATGTGGTCTACCTTTTTAAAAGGGATGGGAAGTCCCATCAGGAAGCTGTATTCTAGGAGAGGTGGCCTGGAGTGGGATGACGGGAGTAGAGGTGAAAAGAATCATGGATTTGGGCTGTTTTGTATTTTGAGATAGAATAAAAAGGACTTGGCATGTAGATTGTTGGCACTGATTGTTGAGCAGCTTCCAGATTTTGAGTTCTTTCACCCTGATTCTCCACCTTCTGATTTAGTTTGCTGGGGAGAGTTTAAGTTACAGAGAATATTTGTGTAGGAGACTCTTCCTACACATGAACACATGTGTCATTTAAACAGCAGCCAACATATGGGCATTCTCGCTGATCTTGAGGCCCAGGACAAGCCATGGCCCTTTGCATTTTTCTCTGTCCCCCAGGATCACAGTCCTAGCTTAGATGCCTTTCTTCTAAGTCCTTCTTAGGACTCTTTCTCAGTCCTTCTAGGTATAGCTACTTACATCCTTGGTGTCATAACAGTAATTTTCTTATACTTATGACATTGTGCCTTGCATAATGGTTGTTTGCTGTATATATTGGTCTTACTATATTTTTATTTTCTTCAGGAAAGCAGCTATTATTATGAGTTATCATATTCTTCCTATGGTAAATACAACATTCCTATCTCCTTCTATATTTCCTAGACTTATTTGCAGCTAGAGTTCTAGATGTGAATTAATGTTTTTCCAATTAGGCATATTTGCATGATATTTGGAAGATGAAAGTGAGTTAGAGACCATCACACCAAGATTTTGGCTTTTTGTTTTTTTTGTAAATAAGGTTATAGAGACATGTTGATAGGCAATTTTGGCAGCAATGTCAGAGGCTTCTGAATCACATGTTTCTGATTTTTGGATTGCAAGTCTGGTAATGTATTGAACTCAATAGTCCCTGGGGTTGATTTCTAATTTCTAATAATTCAGCCCTTATTGTTCTAGGCAGTAAAGCCCTTATTGTTTAAAAGACCTAAAAAGGTTAGTTTTGTTCCTTGAGCCATAACTAAATGAGGAGTTAATTCAGTCTCTCTTGTTTGTCCCTGTGGTTTATATGCAGTAGATGCCCAATTAATGTCCAGTTGAATGTATTACAAAGCCAGACTTATTTCCTCCATCTGTCCACTTATTCAAAAACAATTAGTACCACTAGACATCACTGGCTATATTAAGTGCTGAGCAGTACAAGGTTGAGTAAGATACCGTCTTACTCCTAGTTTTCCAGGAGAGAAAATTACCATAGAGTGTGGGCCAAATGATATAACAGAAGTGAGTGTGAACTTAGAGAAAGCAGAGTTTGGAGTGTCCAGAAAGGCTGCTTAGAAGAGGTGAGGTTTTAGTTGGGACCCAGAGGATGCCTAGGGTTTTTTCAGGCAGAAAATAGCAGGGAGGTATTCCATGCTGATGGGATGGCATATTCAAAGATATGAATTCATGAAAGATCAAGTGTACTAAGAAAAGCTTAAGTCCTTGGTGTGACTGGAGCATTGGATGCTCCTGGGAGGGGCCTCTCATGTGACTAGGCTGGGTAGGTCATCTGATCAGATAGTGAGGCTTATGTGACACATTGAGGGATGTAAATTTTTTTCTCAAGTCACTGGGGAGCCACTGAGGAGAAGGGCCATTAAGGCAGTGGAGATGAAGATGTGAGAAGAGATTCAAAAGTTATGGGGATGTAGAGTTGGGAAGACTCAACGACAATTTGAATGTGGCAGTGAGGGAGTGGTAAAGTTAAAATATGACTAAGTAGAGGGAGGATGAGCTGAAAATTATATTTAGATCAGTTTCATTTTGACTCTTTGTTATTTGTTTTGTATTGATTCTTATTTTTTTTCAGTGCCCAGGAACTCAGGGAACAAAGACATTTTAGAAATCAAGAAATAAGGTGTTATTTTTGGGAAATGGCTCAAAAGTGAAAATAGCACAATCTTCCCACAGTAAAGAAAGAAAGGAGTCATGAAAGTCATTGCTCATCAATTATTTATTAGATATTTTAATACAATTCATAATCTGCACATAGATTTTCTTGAGAAGAGTTTTCAGGTCTTAGGAGCTATAGATCAACAGTTCTGATCCCCTGGAACTTGCAAACATGTGACATATACTTTCTCTCTGTTTTATATAATCAGAAACTAGAAAGGTATTGAGTTGGAATGGGTTCATTCAGCTCTAGTGATAGGCACTATTGGACAGTCCCTCTGGTGTGTAATAAGAGCCTGGCATGGGAGATGTAGTAAACATCAGAGATGCACTCTATGTTCTCGGCTCTCCTAGCAGCCTTGAACTGAGTTTCATTCTAGTCTAGACTATGAGGCTTGAAATTCCTGATGTTTTATCCACAGGATCCAAAGCTCACCAAACCTACGGTTCCTATCCTTGGATGTAATATAAATCTTCAGAATATCTTTTCTGTTTCTGAACTTTAGGGAGAAGTGTTCTACTGTTCTACCTTTCAATGATTCAACCAGGTCTCAGAGGTCAAAGCAGGAAATGATTTAAATACCCAAACTGATCAACATTAAGATATGATTATTTCACCCAATTTACCACCTAGATTTCACTGAATCAGAAAACCCTAGAATTGCTGCTCAAAAAACCAAAAAGCCCTTACATGAATACTAGTACTCAAAAACATCCTTGCAGGTAGATACAGCAGAGGATAGAGGGAAGAAATACATTCTTGATCTTTTAAGTAGAATTAAAGGTGAACTCAACATATAGGTTTCTTTTTTGCCTTTGTGTTGCTTTACCTCTGGTGCTCACATAGACTAGTATCGATAGGATTTCTGCTCTTGCACATAGTCATAGAGGGGGTTGGGAACAGTAGCTGCCTTGATAGGGTGACCACGCTGTTCTCTGTTTTGGGGCCTCCCACTGCTCTGGGTTGGATAGAAGGATGGCTCAGTGTGTCTTTTCTGTGAACCTTGGCTCTGGTCATCCTCATTCATGTGGAATTTTTCTCTGTTATGACAGCTTCTCTGGGTCACTTGGGATTTTTGATTCTGAGATCCTTGATATCTCTCTTTCTCCTCATAGTTTTGTCTATTATGTTGTTGCTGATGGTTTTGATCCTCTTCATGGGTTTGCCCGTCTCGTCTTTGACTGTTCTGCCCATCTTCATGGGTTTGCCTGTCTCGTCTCTGATGGTTCTGCTCATCTTCATGGTTGCCTGTCTTGTCTCTGGTAGTTCTCACTCATCTTCATGGGTTTGCCTGTCTCAAGTCTCTGAGTGGTTTCTGCTCATCTTCATGGGTTTGCCTGTCTAATCTCTGGCAGTTACTCATCTTGGCAGTTGCCTGTCTTGTCTCTGGTGGTTCTGCTCATCTTCATAGGTTTGCCTGTCTCGTCTCTGATGGTTCATGTCTTCATGGTTTGCCTGTCATCCCGTGATACTCATGTCCTTGGTTGCCTGTCTGTCTAGGTAGTTCTACTCATCTTCATGGGTTTGCCTGTCTCGTCTCTGGCCAGTTCTGCTCATCTTCATGAGTTTTACCTGTCTTGTCTCCTGAGTGGTTCTGCTTTCCAGTTTGCCTGTCTTGTCTCTGGTGGTTCTGCTCATCTTCATGGGTTTGTCTGTCTCGTCTCTGATGGTTCTGCTCATCTTCAGGGGTTTGCCTGTCCTGTGTCCCACATGGACCTTCCTGACCCTCATGATTGTGTCTATCCCAACTTTGATGGCCCTGCTCTTCCTCTGCCCAGTGGCTCTGCCCCTCACCATGACTCTGCCTGGTCTTGGCCTGTCTGTGGCCCTGCTCATTACTGCATGATTGCCAGTCTCTCCCTTTGTGACAAAGTGGTCTTTCTTGTTGGATGTGTGCTAAGAGTTTGTGTTGGTGGTGTTGGCTATCCTCTTTAGGCTCCCATACCTGGTGGCTGTTCTCCTGTGAGTCCCTAGACTGGAATCCCTGTCCCTGGTTTTGGTACCCTTTCTGTCCTGGAGTCTGTTGACTTAGCCTCCCTGATCTTCCTGATTGCTCAACATAAGAGACTTTTCTTGTTCCTTCGGTCCCTTGGAAGTACTTATTTTGCCCTTGTATTTCCCCAGTCTGTGATTGAACACAGCAGGAACTCTGGCCTTGTCTGTCTGTCTGACCATAATGATAACTCTGACTTTGTCTGTCTGTCTGACCATAATGGGAACTCTGGCTTTGTCTGTCTGTCTGACCATAATGATAACTCTGTCCTTGTCTGTCCATCTGACTGTAGTGGGAACTCTGGCCTTGTCTGTCTGTCTGACCATAGTGGGAACTCTGGGGCCTTGTTTCTGTCTGACCACAGTGGGAACTCTGGCCTTGTCTGTCTGTCTGACCACAGGGGAACTCTGGCCCTGTCTGTCTGTCTGACCACAGGGAACTCATTCTGTCTATTTGTCTGACCACAGTGGGACTCTGGCTTTGTCTGTCTGTCTGACTACAGTGGGAACTCTGGCCTTGTCTGTCTGTCTGACCATGGGTGGGAACTTGGGCCTTGTCTATTTGTCTGACTAGTGACTCTGGTCTTGTCTGTCTGTCTGACCATAGTGGGAACTCTGGCCTTGTCTGTCTGTCTGACCATAGTGGGAACTCTGGTCTTGTCTGTCTGTCTGACCATAGTGGGGACTCTGGCTTTGTCTGTCTGGCTGACCGTAGTGGGAACTCTGGCCTTGTCTGTGTGTCTGACCAGTGGAACTCTGCCTTGTCTGTCTGTCTGACTGCAGTGGGAACTCTTGGTCTTGTCTACTGTCTGACCAAGGTGGGGACTCTGGCTTTGTCTGTCTGGCTGACCATAGTGGGAACTCTGGCTTGTTCGTGTGTCTGACCATAGTGGGAACTCTGGCCTTGTCTGTCTGTCTGACTGTAGTGGGAACTCTGCCCTTGTCTGTCTGTCTGACCATACTGATAACACTGGCCTTGTCTGTTCGTCTGACCATAGTGGGAACTCTGGCCTTGTCTGTCCGTCTGACTGTAGTGGGAACTCTGGTCTTGTCTGTCTGTCTGACTGTAGTGGGAACTCTGGCCTTGTCTGTCTGTCTGACCGTAGTGGGAACTCTGGTCTTGTCTGTCTGTCTGACCATAATGATAACTCTGGTCTTGTCTGTCCATCTGACCACAGCCTAATTCCTGACCCAGCCTCCCAGACTGTCCACAATAAGAGCCTGATTTCTGTTGATTTGTTCGGTTAAAGTGAGAGTCTTGTCCAAATGTTTCAGGCTGTTGTGCAAGTCTTTCAGACTGACCATAATGAGAATCTTGAACTGGTTTTTCACACCCATTTAAGGCAAATATATGTCCCTGCCATTTAGTCTGGCCCCTGGTAGATTTGTGACTCACTTTTTTACCAGAACCAGAGCTGGAGTCTTGACTTTGTCTCTCTGACTGATCAAAGCTGAAATCCTTGCCTTGTCTCTCAGACTGATTGTGGTGAGAATCTCTGTCTTGTCTCTCAGGCTGACCATGGTGGGAATCTCTGTCTTGTCTCTCAGCCTGACCGTGGTGGGAATCTCTGTCTTGTCTTTCAGGCTGACTGTGGTGGGAATCTCTGTCTTGTCTCTCAGGCTGATTGTGGTGAGAATCTCTGTCTTGTCTCTCAGGCTGACTGTGGTGAGAATCTCTGTCTTGTCTCTTAGGCTGACCATGGTGGGAATCTCTGTCTTGTCTCTCAGGCTGACCACTGTGGGAATCTCTGTCTTGTCTCTCAGGCTGACTGTGGTGGGAATCTCTGTCTTGTCTCTCAGACTGACTGTGGTGGGAGTTCTGCCTTTCTTCCTCGTGCCTCTGTCTGTGTTGTGTACCTGTGTTTCCTGGGAACTTACGGTCTTGTGCTCCTTCCTGCCCCCTTTCTTGCTGCGAGGTCCTGCCTCCATATGACTTATTGTCTAGCTTACGATAGCAGGCTTGGACCAACTGGAACACCAACAAGAGGTACTCATGAAAATCAACATGTCCATCTCGGTCTTGATCTAAGAGGTTCAAGATGGTTTCCACAGTCTCTGGGTCATTTGGTCTCTGTTAGGAGATAAAACAAAGAGCAAAATCAGATGCTTTCCTGTGCATACTAAGATGTGTATTAGTGTTCATGCCTCAATCCATTAGGTACTGCATGGACCTTCCTAGGTTGAAAAACCATTAATCTGAGGTAGTGTGGACTTGGCGCTAGTCTTTGATCAGTTGGTTCTCAGAACCTTGCTGGATCAATGGGAGCAGGGAGTAGATACACTTATTTAAAATCAGCTCCATTAGTAATTAATTTGATTCATTTCAAAGTTATCCCATTCCATCACAGGCTGTACCCTAGTTGTTTACCTCCTTTTTTTTCTCACTGCACTGTGAGATCCTAGAAGGAGGGGAAGCTGATTTTATTCATGTTTGTATTCCTTGTGCCTAGGTGCTCAGTGACTCTTTATTGGTTGAATGAATGAATACATGAAAAGATGTGTGGATAGCACTAAAATATAGAAATCAAGGTATGAATCTTAGGTCTTCATCTGAGAAATTATTCCCCGTTACCTTGAAGTTATACTCCCTCCTATTCAAACTCAGATACAAGGAGGTGTGTGTGTGTGTGTGTGTGTGCGCGCGTGTGCGTGTTTGTGTGTATGCTGGGAGAGAACTACTAAGGAACTGCCTGAAATTCCTTTTGTTATAGGGTGGAGCAAGACCAAATAAAACAATGCATCCAACTCTGGTGCAGGTGTCAGAGTCATTCACACTTGATCCCATGGGGCTATGTGTCTGTGTATCTCACCTGGAGGATGTCTCCAAACTCAGCCAAGAGCAGTTGTTTCAACTCCTCCTTGCATAGTAAGGCACAGTCCCCATTCTCTTTGGCATATTTGTGAAACACCTCGATCACACTGAGTATGCTACTCAGGAGTTGAGCCATTTTGACAAATACAGGTGAACCTAAAAGAAGAAACAAGATTTCTCCTGCCCTTAGGATAATGACCATGAGACAGCATTTTCACAGGGAAAGTGAACCCTCTGATTCTGGGAAAAAGTTTAAGAAGTGAGAGAGCCCCTTCTTAGCTGTACCCCTCCTTTGCCCTGACTCACAGTCAGGGACCAAATATCATTGCTATAATGGGAGATGGTGCAAACTTGGTTCCCCTGCTATAAAAAGAGACAATTTTTTAAAAAAACAAAAAATGCATTGCAGGTGTTTTACATATCCCATCCTCTACTCCAGGTAGGATTCGCTTGATTGAAACTCTCATATCAGAACAAAAGGAAGGGAGGCCAGGAAGCCCAATAGAGGCAGGGCCAGAAGCTAGCATAGTAGGGCATAATTTTCGACTAACAACTAGCAAACTGGAGGGGGCACTAAACAGATCCCACTGAACAGGTTTCAGTCTTGTAACAAGCCTTTCTTAAGCAAGGAAGAAGGCTGAAAGTCTCTCTTCATGGTCTAAGGAAGCTTTCTGGGAGGCTAAATTCCAGCAAATGCTTCTGGCCTAGATGATTTTGGGACATGCTTATAAAATGAAATCAATGAACATAAAAGCTGTTACAGATAAAAATAGCAAGTGGGTACATAGCTAAATTAAGGGCACAGATTATAGGAGGTATATATAATCAGTTAGGTCCACATTGGCCATGCTGGGAGACTTGGGTCTTTTGGGATCTAAATCTCAATTACATTTTTTTCTTGCGGTATGAAAATTCCAGTTAGTGGGTTTATAGGCCTCCAAACTGAAGCCCTATCTGCAGAGCACACTGAACTGCCCAAAGCATACAAACAGTGATGTCTATAAGAATAAGTGACAAATAATGGATCACATGGGACAAGCTGAGTCCCTTGTTGTAATCCAATGCAATGAGACTTGAGCATTGCTGGGTCCATGGTCCTGGGCCTTGGCCCTAAATTATTAGGTCTTTCCTAACTTGCACAAAAAGTAAATGCTCCACTATGGGAGACTAAGATATTCATCAATAGTTACAGCCCTCAGTTTTGGGATGCCTAGGACACATTGAAGCGAAGGCACTTGCATTTCACAGGCACAGAAGTAGTCCATCCCAGCTATTGTCATATTCTCAGATAGAGGCAGAGAAAGGAAGCAGAAGGTAACCAAGGCTATTACCCACAAAAATTAGTCTCAGTCCTCCCCAGCCTGGTGCATTATAGGGCGCTTGAGAGCCTTGTAGATACTACCAATGCTCCCCCGTGCATATCTTACCTGCTTGAGGAGGAAGGAGCAGAAGATTCAGGAGTCAGAGAGGATACTGGAAACCTAAAAACTCATCCTATTTATAGGAGTTTTAATTATCCTACCAGGCCATCCCAGGAGACACCCATTCTGTGGCAAAGCCTGAATCACTGTGGTCCCAGCCCAGCTCAGCCCAGCTTGACCTCTCCCTCTGCAAACCGTTTGGTTTATTTACTTCCCCCACTTGCTCATGAACCTGTTTGTCACTACAGTAGGTGACACTGTTTAAGTCCCAGCCCCATTTAATTAGGAGGATGTGTTTGTGTGTGTATGTATTTGTGCTGTGAGGGTCCCGAAAGACAGAGGTGTTGGCTGAGTTCATCCTTAATATATGTCACTTGCCAATACTAATAGAGGGCAACAGTCAACTCATACTGAAGAAGGATATCTACATGGTCACTTACAAACATATGTCAAAGTTGGAACTAGAGATTCTATTTATTTGGCCAGAATATAGTCCCTGGAAGAGGTTTCTTTTAGACTAACCTTTTTCTTGTGCTGGTAGATATTTGGATATTCACCTATTAACTTATTTTGAATTACGATTATTTTTCATTTAACAACTCCACAGGCTAGTTGGAAGAAGTAGACACATAGTCAGTTTTGGGGATGAGGGGTGCTGATGGTGGAAATTCTACCACGTAAGCCTTCTAAGACTTACTACTGAAAAGTTTGAGTTGAGGGACAACATGGAGGTTTATGATATCTGTGAGACAGAAATGCTGCTAGAGACCCCAGCTTCTGTTCATTTCCCATCTCCATGCCCTTAGATGCCAGCACAGTATCTTGAGCATGGGAGATTCTTAGTAAATATTTTTGGGGTAAATGAATTATTGGATTATGGAAGCACTGATGAATCTTATGTAAGGTGCAAAAAACTGTAGACTCACCTGTATTTCAACATTAGTCTCACATCTAGATCCCTGTTTGGACCTTTTCCTATGTATCCATCAGCCAATCTGTTAATTTTAATAACACTTGCTATTATTTACTGTGTGTTCAGGATTCTACAAGGGAATCACAACAGTGTAGAAAGATTTTAGTTCAGTTGGAATAAAGAAGCTTCGCATAGAAAAATACTTTGAACTCCAGGGATAGGACATGCTAAGTGCTGAGTATTAGAAACCTAGGTGCATGTGCAGTCCTTGTGGCTGGGCCTGGACGTCCCTTAGGAGGTGAGCTTCATGTTGTTCCTGAAAGGATTCAGGTGGGCAGAGAAGAAAGCAAAGGACTTCTGAGGGGGGAGAAGGGAAGAATCAAATGTACTAAGGTGAGAGTTTATATGTTGTGTTTGGATTCAAGTGAGCTGGTAAGTCTGGGTTGAGCAGAGGGATTTAGAAGAGTAGACTTAGAAAATTTTGGATCTGAAAGAGAAATCTAGCCTTAGCTTCTGAATTTTTCAGATAAGGAAACTGAGGTTCAGGTAGGTTGAGTGTATTTGCCAAGGGTTTCACGGGCTATGACTAAAGCCAGGCCTGGTTTACTTGTTTCCTCACTCTAGCCCGATATGCTTTCTGAGACATTCTCTGAGGCAGATTTGGGGCCTACTTTATGGTTTGTTTTAATGAGAAAGGAGAAGCAGGGTTTTGGTCAGGAAAAGCGACATAATCAAAGCATTGTTTAGAGGAAGAATCTAATGGCTCTGTTGTAGGTGGTCAGATGTCTCAGTTTGTCTGGGACTAAGGAGTTTCCCAGGACATGAGACTTTCAGTGGGATAGTTCTGGGCAATCTGGACCAAGTTGGTCACCCTAAACTGTGGTGTACAAGATGAATTGGAAAGAGGAGTACTGGGCAGTGAGGCCAGTTAGGAGTCTATTATATGGCATGGGTGAGAAGTGACAAGGACTTCGACCTGGATGCAGTAGTTCAAAACTATAGGAAGGCAGATGGATAATAGCAGGACTAAAGGGATGAGGTCTGGGGACAGATTAGAAGAGGGGCAGGGAAAGTGGGAACATTAGGTGAGATTCCAAGTCTTTAAGTCTAGATAACTAGTAGAATTATGGTACACTGAAGAAATGTAACTTCTGAAGGGGGACTGATGGGTCTAAGATCCAGTGCTTCTATTGGCATTTCCCAGGTCTGCCTTTTGTAGTCTTGTTATACTCCCTCCAGCTTGCACCCTTAGCTGTCTGGGGTCTCCCAGCACAGGTCAGGACTTTCTTAAGTCTGTTCATAAATTCTGAGAGCTGGGTCACATTAAGGTTCTCCTCATACTTTTGCGTCTCTACTTAGTGCTCTTCAGTTATGTCTCTTCTCACCTGTTAGAATAAAAGAACTAGGGAGGATTTGGTTGTCCCCAGAGGCAAATAAGAGGAGTGGGGGTGGGATGGGCAGGGGTTGAAGAAAATAGCCATCATGACACAGAACGACAATATTGTGTCCCCTTTCTCTTGGCATGTTCCGTGGCTCTCTAGCAACTGTTTCTTTTGGTTAGACGGGAAGTTCTCTTTGTTTGATGCTGCAGTGAGAGAAAGACTATGTTCTTAAGAGTTGGATCTGCTATGTGTGCATTCATTTAACACTTAATACATTCTGATAGAATAGGCAGAGAACTATGTTGATCAGCCAATCAGTTAATCAATTAGTATTTGTGACCATACAGAGGGCGCCCTTTGTGGGCACTGAGATAAAATGTAGTCTTTGTCCTTAAAGAACTTTCAATGTCACTGGGATTGAAAATTCAGTCTCACTGGGATACACAAGATCTTTTTCTGTGGTTCAAATTGCTTCACAGGTATTACTGCCATTGATAGGGTAGAGAGGGGTTGACTAGAGGGAAGAAGGGGGAGGCCACAGGGCTAGAAATAAAACACCTTTGAAGGAATCATCAAATGTGACCTTTGTTTCTTTATCTGTAAAAGGAGAGAGTTGGAGCTTTCTTTTGGCATTGGCATTCTGAGATTCTGTCATGCCAATCTTAAGGTTAGCAATGGCTTTAGAGGTCATATTTAAACATTGCTCTATTCAGATATTTGATAAAGCCCTCAGAAATTTGTGCTTTTCAGTCTTTCTCTGTGGAAAATGGAGAAGTCAATTATGGGTGTCCTGTTTCTTCATTAACATTTATAAATTTCATGAGGACCTACACTATTTTTAAAAATTATTTTTCAATGTGTTTTGCAGCTTTAAATGCAGTCGTGTTGTGTGACCTTTGGTCTCAAAGGCAAGATGTTTTAAGCTACAATTTATTGAAGTCTTATTGTGTGCTAGGCTCTGCGTTAAGCATTATATATATATTATCTCCTTAAAAATAATTTCAATTTTTATTTCATATTCCATGGGTATATGTGAAGGTTTATTACATGGGTACACTGCTTGGTGTTGAGCTTTGGGATATGAATAATCCCATTGCCCAAATAGTGACCATAGCACCCAGTAGTTTTTCAACTCTTTCTCCCCTCTTCCCCCTTCTAGTAGTCCCCAATGTCTATTGTTGTCATCATTATGTCCCGGAGTACCCAATATTTAGCTCCCACTTATAAGTGAGAATATGTGGTATTTGGTTTTCTGCTCCTGCACTAATTTGCCTAGGATAATGGCCTCCAGCTGCATCTTATGCACCTGGCAAAGGTCTAATATTCCAAATCTATAAGAAACTTATTATCTTGTTTAATGCCCACAGAAACTCCATGAGGCAGAGAATATCGTCTTCATTTTTCAAACAATGACACTGGG